TTGTACCATTGGGTAGGGCCCATATGAGATCCCTTCAGTGGTCACTTTGTGACCAGTGGCTCCTGCATATCGACCATTTGGATTAAACAGTCTCTTTGCTCGAGAACAATTTTGCAGATCTCAAGTAGTGGCTAGACAGGAACAACATGACTATCTGGGTCCCAATACCACCTTCTCATCTGGAAAACCATCTCTTCAGGGGCAGGAATTCCAGGGTATTTGGACAGACTATGTATCTAATCTGCATATCAACATACTCTAACTTCTTGCGGTACATCGAGCGATGATTCAAGTCCTTCCTTTCTTACATGGCAAAATTGTCATGATCCATTTGGACAACTCCACAGTGGTATCATATCTTTCTTGTCAGGGAGGTACTCATTCTTGAGGTCTTTGTTTTCGGACTTTGGATATTCTTTATTGGGCTCATTCCCACGACATCCATCTTTTGGCCTGTCATGTTATGAATTTGATAGCAGATCATCTTTCTCAACCCCATCGGATTCTTCCAACAGAATGGATGTTACATCAAGAGGTCTTTCAATGGATTTGTTTTAAGTTCGGGTTCCAAATGGTCGATGCCTTTGCAACTCATTGGAATGCTCGCCTACAGTTGTTCTGGTCTCCAGTTCCGCATCAACGAGCTTTGGCGATAAACGCTTTCAGTCAAGACTGGACAGGACTACATTTGTATGCCTTTCCTTCTATTTGTCTCTTACCCAGAGTTTTCTCTATGATTTGTTCCACTCCATGTCAGGTTCTCTTGATAGCACCTTTTTGGCCTACTCAGACATGGTTTTCTCTTCTTTGGTTGCTCCAGAAATGTCCACCTCTACATCTTCATCCATCCTTGTTGAGACAACCTCAGTCAAACATTCAACACCCACCTGGTTGACTCTAGCTCCATCCATGGAAGTTATGCAGTCTTTTGCCCAACATAATGGTTTAACTTCTAAAGTTTTCATTTATTTGTCTAAATCCCTTCGTCGACCTATGATGGCAATCTATCAACAGATATGGACTACATATCGTCATTGGTGTCTTTGGAGAGCCTTCAACCAACTTCATCCAACAGTCTCCATAGTCTCAGGGAGTTGATTCACATAACCTATTTGTGGTTATCTTTTGAAGATCATAATATGCTCCATGTCACTTCTCACCAGATTCAGCATCTATCAATGTCATTGGCTGCTCATCTGAACTGTTCTCTGGAGGTTATTTTGTAGGCCGGTATGTGGAATTCTCCCGACACTTTCTTATCTCATTACTTCATGATCTGGCAGTTTCCTCTTACGTGGGATTTTGCCTTCCCCCTATAGCTGTGTTGACTACCTCTGCTAGATTTTAACAAGGAGGTGAGTAACTTTCTTATGTGATTCACGATTGTTGATTTTATCTTTTAGGGGCCCTCTTTATTTCTTTTGGATCCCACTCAGTGGCGAATGTTGCCCAGTCAGATGTTCTTGTATTTTTTTTAAATTCGGCACTGGCAACCTTTATATCAGTTCATGGTTGTAATGGGCTCTGTTGAGATGAGATGTTCCATAAGACCATCTAGACGCAATTGTGTATGGTAGTATTATCTCACAATACAACTTCAATGGACTGCTACTCATGGACTATCATGAGTAAAGCTAAGGAGGATCTTTGAGCTGAATCAGTCAAGATCGAATTGCTTTTAAAACTTAGGGAACGTGGTTCATTTGTTGCACTGTCTCCAGTGCCCTGTTACTTGGAACTCCCCCCCATGCACATGTCCCCCCCCCAAAAAAAATTCTACTAGTGGAGCTACGGAGCCCTTACCACACCCAGTTCCCAGTTGCTGGGGTGGTGGACAGATGATTTTCCTTTGGAGTGTTGAGTTTTCTCTACTTTTGGAGAAGAGGGTGAAGTTGGGGATCCTCCTACCCAGTTTTTCCCAGATGTTGGTAGGAGCAGGACCAACCTACACGGGGGCCTAATCGTAAAATTGGTCCACTGGGGATGTGTTTGGACCCTCTTATGAACACTGTTGAATCTTAGATTGTTCATACAGGGGGGTGCACTATCTCCTCATAAATTCCAATGCAAAGTCCCATCTTAGGCCCTTGGTGGAACAATGTTCCACGTCCTCTCCATAATTCCATGGGTAAGTCGAATTCTCCTTGCCCACTTGGTTGGGGAATGAAGATAACTGTTCATAAATCCAGACCGGATGAGTTCTGGACCATGGGAGGGGTATGGCATATATGAACCCTTCAATCCGAGCATGGGATGTTGCATTTTGGATGTCTTCAGGTTGATCAGATGGAAGACATCCACTTTGGTGTTGCTTTCTTTCTTTTGTAAATCTGGTTGTTTGAAACACATCATTCTGTGGCTGCAGGTGGGGATCCTATCACAAAGATGGGTATATATGTGTGGTCCAACTGCTCTGGCCATTAACGTGGGATATGGATATCATGACCCGTTAAATCCAGCACCAAATCATGGAACCTCGTCTGCGTGGTTGGAGCTAGCCCATCATACTTCCTTATGTAATATTCCACCCTTTTCACTTTTCAGTAGTTCTGGGTGAAGAGCATACCTATTCTGGTTACAGTGCAGTTTTCCCCACTTAAAGATCTCCAGTTTATAAGAAACAAGAGAATATATTACAGTTTCTACCAATTTTTTATGTGAAGGATAAACTTAGACAATGTGGTTGTCTGTTAATAAATTGCATAGAGTATTTGGCTAAACATCATTTTTCTTTCTGAGTGCACAAGTCTCTAAGCCTGAAATTCCAATCAAAGTAGAATTTCTGTAAACTTTCTCAACACAGCCATACAAAATAAATTTATTACTCTTATATAACAAGATTTCTTTTTTAGTGAGCTAAATGGATCCCAAATTTTCCCTGTCTTCCATTTCATCTCTGTTTGTGTGTTTTAAAGTTCCACATTACCACACGTCATAAACCATGAGAGAGTCACTCTGCATTACATGTTCAGGTTTATTGTTCCAATATTTTGACACTTGCTGTTCTAAACATTCAGAAAAACATAATCATTTTATCATGATTCTTCAAGAGCAATGACTCAAAAGTTTGATGATGAGGAACCCACTTTTCAGAAAATAAAAATTTGGAGACAGCTTGAATGAGTAATTAAGAAAACTTTAGTATATATTTACAACATCTGAACAAAACAGCCCTGCTCTAAACCAACATCCCAAGGTACCTTTACTAAGCTATTAAGCAATGTTCAGTCATGTGACCTCTTTTTTCCATGCTGTATATATATATATATCATTTTGTCAAAACATTGTACATTTATAATAAAGTTTTCTTCATTACCCATTCAAGCATCTCCAAACTTTTAATGACTCAAGAGATAAAAAAACAAAGAATTATTAGCCACAAAATAAGCTGATATAAATATATTGCAAGTGAAATTAGTATACAGTAACACAAGTCAAAATAACATATCAGAATGCAAAGGGAGCTAGTTCAACTTACAAAATAACAGAAGCATAAACATAATCTTTGAATCTCTTCAGCAGCAGATAACTAAAATTATAATAATAGATATAAACTGTTAAGACTAAACATTATTGTGAAAAAAAAAGTTTAGTTTTATAAATAAATAAATTAATTTGAGCAACTTTTCAGTAATTGTACCTAATGCAGTCATTCCTGTATTAGCTAGGTCAGAACCACAACAGATTTCAAGGTGCTGTTTAACAATGTGTAAATTAATTTTTTGTAGTAGGTTAAACTGAAGCTCTTACATGCCACTCCAATAATGACCTGATTTCTCCCTTGCTTAAACAGTGTGTATATCAAATAACAACTGAGTAATAAATACCACTTAAATCACCAAAACACTTCATCACATGAAACATCTAAAATTCAGCAAATTTGGTTAATTTCTACTGGCTATATTGACAAATCTATTGAATCTGGATATAGAGTTTAATACTGTAAGCCAATCACGAAATATTGATTCAGATCTGAGCATAAAACAACAGTGTAGTATATTCTATCATCATTCATAATGGGGTATTTATCAATATTGGAACATGGGTTAGTCAAATGTGGCTTTCTCACAGAAGCTGCCTACAGGATGTACTGACCAAAGAGTTTTCAATGTTACTACAATGCCTCCTTCCATACTGTACATTATTTCTTGAACATTACAAACTGTTTTTAAAGAAAAGTGAAAGCATATGTTACACATGAATCAGAAATAAAACAATTACTATCAAATAATGAAAATGAAAACAAGTGTGTCAAAAGTAAAATGGCCAAATAGTGGGACAGTCAATTTATGGCAATGTTCTTTTTATATTCAAAATTCCTTTATATAGCTACAGCATTTTCTTCATATTTATGTTGTATAAAAATGTTAGTTTGAAATATTGAATAATACATTTTCTCAGATATTTTTACGACTATTTCATTAAACAATCAGTTTTCCAAAATATTTAGAATTTACTATTTAGTAAACTTTTCTAAGTTGATGTATGCTGCTTAATGTTGGTAGTGATTATGTGTGAAGTTGTAACAGAAATCTAAGAATTAAACTCCATACATAATCACTATCAAACTGCATATGTCAACTGTGTATATATAATTTATATATCATGAACCAACTTACTAGATATGGATATTTTTACTATTATGGTTATTGTTAAATCAAGTTATGTGTACACACAAAAGAATCTGGTGAATTAATTATAGTTCTAATTTGCCAAATAGTAATTTAACACTTCACACCATTAGGCTGATTAAACTAGTGAATGATCTAAATTTGTTGATTTAGATGAAATACACAAAGTTTAATCATTTGTTGAAAGCACCAAGTAGTGTGATTGCTCATAAGGACAGTTGTTGACATAAAATTGTCATTGTGGTCACTGTACAGAATATTGAGGTATATATGATACTTTTTATATGCTTTGTCTTTCTTGTGTCTTTTCTGTTACTATAGGGTTTTATGTTACATATCTAATGTAAAAGAATGTTTTCATTTTTCAAGGGATATCTGGTCAACTGGGAGGTTGAAAAGCAAGTTTGGGATTATACATTTGGCCAAGATGTGTTTAATGTAAGTTATAATTCTTTCACTTGTCACTACAGTGAGGAAAAAAAACAACACTAATATTTGATTAATCATTATTCTAAAATTAAGTTTGGGAAGCTAAGAAAGGGGGGAAGGATTTCTAAAATCTAAACTTTTAATCAGTTGATAGAAAAATTACCTTAGCAGGTTCTTACTATTGTCTTTTGCCAGAAGGTCAGTCAGTTATTGTTTCCTCTCCCTGAATATGAAGAGCCAGTATTATTTCATTTTCTTATTTCTTTGATGGAAAAACTGGATTTATAAAGATTCATGCTATTCTCTTAGTATTAATTGTGTGTGTGTTATACTTATGATGTCTCAGAAGTCACATCATCTGTGGCCACTGATAGAGAAATGCATTATCCTTCCAATGTTCTAGTACATTTGTTTTTTGAGGAATTTGTTATTTATATCTATCAAGTAGGTTTCAGATTTTTCTTACATCACTTCTTTTTATTTGATGATTTTTAGAAATTTGAATGAATTCATTTTTGTTTCAATTTTGAAATCTCTTAGCACAGTGTTTTGAAACTAAACCTATACTTTGCTGCTTAAACCTCATTCAGGTGTCCAGAATGTAATTAATAAAAACATAAAATGCATTTACTATCATTCACTTAATTACAAGAAAACAATGTGTTTTTGTGATAGCAAGGAAATTGAATTCTCAAACCAGTAGAAAGCATACACTTGCATATAATCTGAACCAAAATTTATTTGTGGTTTAATGATTTTGAACTTAGTATAACCTTGGTGTTTTAGATAGACTTTGGAGAGACCTGCCTGATAGTGACAGAGCCATACTTTAACTTCACATCCATTCAAGAAAATATGACTGAAATTCTTTTTGAAGAATACCAGTTTCATTCACTTCTTCGTATTAATGGTACAGATTTTATCTTTATTATGATTATTGTTTTATTAACTTATATTTGGAATTTTTTTAATACTATTTGTAATTTCATAAATTTCAACAATTACTTTACTTTTATTTTGTTTAAAAACAAGCAGTTTCTATTACTTCAGAGCTTATCCAGTCTTCATTAGATAATGATGTTTTCAGTCAACATATCAACATGTATGATAGAAATAAACCACAATAAATAGATAGTCAGATATTCAAGTTTGCAATGAATTTAATTTTAGGCATAAAAATTGTACTTAGTATTTGGTTTCAGATTTTGCATTAATCTTTGACATTTTTAGTTATCTTTTTCTCATGTTTGCATAAACTTTCACAAGGAAAGGTAATTTGGTAAATATTTCCATCTTGTTGTTGTTATTGAATCATATTTATTAATATACAGTTAAACAAACACATTTCTAATGTCAGTTGTACATATTATAGGAAAGAAAATACCCTGATGGTACAGTATACCAAGGATTGATATGTGTATGGCTGTTAATGGCATGCAATAATAAATAAAGTAAGAATAAATTGTGTATTTTTCCTTATGGATTCAGGTTTTTGGGATACCCTGTATGTAAATAACTTGTTTGTAGATTGACCATGAACGGGAAACACTTTTTTTACATTATATATCATTGTGACATGTGCTTAACAAGTGGATGCATATCGATATTGCAGAATTTTTGGTGTAACAAGAAATTAGGTTTCTGAATTGGAAAATTAATTTTTGGTATTCATTTATGAATGTTACCTCAAACAACATGCAAGCAAAATAATTAAATTCTAATATTTTTTCTTGCTTAGCGGGAACATTAAGTGCTCACAGATACCATAAAGAAAATCCAAATGAACTTTGCTGTCTTGTTGTGGAGTCTGGATACTCTTTTACCCATATAGTACCTTATATTAAGGGAAAGAAGTTGAAAAATGCTATAAGGAGGTGAGTTTGATATCACTTTGTATATTCATGCATGTACAAACACATATACAGGATGATCACATTATATTAAAATTATTTTGGTGTCTCACCACATTTTTACATATCATTTCATCCAGTATGCCTTTGTATGGAATAGCAAAAAATACCTGACAGTTAAATTAATATGTCATTGAAGCAACTTGTGTCACTTTTTCAGACAGAAATATTTTTCGACTATTTTTCATACTCTTGCTTAGGGCACGTGGACAGCTTTTGCCACTGAACTTTGAGTTTGTGAGTTCTTACCTGTTACAAAATGCCACACTTTGCTTACCACAGGTGGGGTACAACTTGCTCTAGGTTCATCCACATTTCTTTAACTTCCAATGCCATTAAATATAAGGGATGTCCCTGTCTTGGAAATTTTAAATACTCTATCTGAACATATCTTTATGATCTGACCTTAAGAATATTTTGCATGGAAAGTCTGTTACATACTCTACCCAAAGGTGATCAGTTTAAGGTGGCATCAAAATGTAGTTTTGATACATACCATTTCACTGTGATTTTATGTTGGATTTGACTCACTGTTTTGCTTATCCAAAATAAATTTAATATAACATACTCAACCCTGTATATGTATATGGTAAATTTGTGGAGTTCAATTTTAAACTTCTTAATAAAAGAAATAACTGAAAAGCTAAGTAACTCATTCATATTTATTTCATCATTAAACTTCAGGTATCAGAATTGTTTCCAAATTTTGCAGCCTTTTAAATCCCCCTTTCCCATGCTACTGCTTTGAACCTAGATCAGCACGATGAGTATCACATTTGTGCACCATCCTCATGAGGACAATGTAATAAATGCCATTCTTAGTGTGGGTACCTTTGTTAGTATTAATAAGGATCGTGGTCTTCTTCTTATCATATTATTTTTGTACCAGAATATGTCAAAGTTTGTAACTAAGAGCCTGTTCAGAATTCATAAAAAATTAAAAGATTTTCTAAAAAGAAATCTTTAATCAAGATAAATATAAAACGTATTAGATCTAAAAGATTCTCCCCCCCCCCCATTAACATTTGAAATCGTGGGGCACATGTTTGGGAGTGGTGGGAATTAATGTATTTTTTAAAAATTGGGGATATTCTTGTTTCTTTTTTCAATAATTTTTCTCTGTTTATTCAAGAGACATTTCATATTTCACATCTTCCTTTTATCTTTATTTTGTTTAGAATTCAAGACTTGCATGTAAATTAATGTAACAAGAAAAAACACTTTCAATAGATTATTCTTTGATTTTCAGAATCAATGTTGGTGGGAAGGCCCTAACCAACCACCTAAAAGACATCATCTCATATCGACAGCTTCATGTAATGGATGAAACGTATGTCATGAATCAAGTAAAAGAAGATGTGTGCTATGTGTCTACTCAGTTTGACCATGATATGTCAGTTGCACGGTAATAATCCAACAATACTTATACCAATGAAATTTGTAGTGTGGTAGTTTGATCTCACTTAAAATTTTTAATGTCACTGCCTGAACTATCCTATCCTTAATTAAGATTTTTTTTTAATTAAAAAGCTTAGAGAAACACTAACTCAATTTTTTAGTTTACAGAACTGTTTATTGTCATTGGTATTTAAACTTACAATGTAAAGTACAGTTTAGTTAATTTTTTTGTAACTTATGTCTTTTGATATCTGTAATAAGTAATTAAAATATTTTTGTTCTTTATGTGTATACATTGTTTAGAAGAAATTCTAATTGTAATGTTTAGTGGATATACAGATTTCTATGATTAAAAAAGATCAAAAACTTCTTTTATAAATGTATATGTTGTTGTAAAATATAAAAAAATGCAGTAACCTTTATTAGTAGGTTAGGTTCTATACTGCTGTGGAGTTGATATATAAGAATTTGAAATTAAGGCTATTTGTGGAGCATTACTACATAAGAATTTGAATAGATTCTATATTGTTGTAGAAGTGTGATATATAAGAATTTCAGGGTAAGGCTATATTGTTGTGGAGTTGTGATATGTAAGAATGTCAGGGTAAGGCTGTGTTGTTATGGAGTTGTGATATGTATAAATTTCAAGTTAAGGCTATATTGTTGTGGAATGTTACTACATAAGAATTTGAATAGGTTCTATATTATCATGGAATGTTACTACATAAGAATTTGAATAGGTTCTATATTATCATGGAATGTTACTACATAAGAATTTGAATAGGTTCTATATTATCGTGGAATGTTACTACATAAGAATTTGAATAGGTTCTATGTTATCGTGGAATGTTACTACATAAGAATTTGAATAGATTCTATATTATCGTGGAATATTGCTACATAAGAATTTGAATAGGTTCTATATTATCGTGGAATGTTACTACATAAGAATTTGAATAGGTTCTATATTATCGTGGAATGATACTACATAAGAATTTGAATAGGTTCTATATTATCGTGGAATGATACTACATAAGAATTTGAATAGGTTTTACATTATCGTGGAATGTTACTACATAAGAATTTGAATAGGTTCTATATTATCGTGGAATGATACTACATAAGAATTTGAATAGGTTCTATATTATCGTGGAATGTTACTACATAAGAATTTGAATAGGTTCTATATTATTATGGAATGCTACTACATAAGAATTTGAATAGGTTCTATATTATTGTGGAATGCTGCTACATAAGAATTTGAATAGGTTCTATATTATTGTGGAATATTACTACATAATAATTTAAATTGGTTCTATATTGTTGTGGAATATTACTACATAAGAATTTGAATAGGTTCTATATTGCCACTTTTTGTCTTTTCAGGAAAAAAGGAAAAGATAATACCATCATAAGAGATTATGTTCTCCCTGACTACACTGTTATAAAACGAGGTTACGTCCGACCCTTGGAAGAAACAACAGGCAAGCCCAAAGATAATGAACAGGTACTTATTGTTTAGGCAATGTTACATTGCTGTTTCTAGCATCTAATGTGTATGGTTGTATTATTAGTATAATAATTTGTAAATTTATCCAAATGTTTAAATTTTGGGCAACTTATTAAATCAGGGAAACCTATTTAAAAAAACAAAAACATTATAAGATATATGTATCAAGAGTTTCTTTAGTGGATCTTTGTGGCAGTAATAATTTTTATGAGCAACTTGTTTATAAAAGATATTAAATACATACTGAAAATACCAAAATCTCACTACAAAAGGGTTGTTATAAATGCAAAAAATATATCATATTGCTTTTTAAAATCTAACCGATGGACTGATTATCATCAAACTTGGCGTGTACCTTGGGGGTTGACATTTGGATTTGACCCCCTGTATCACCTCCCCTGTAGATCCTAAGTCTTCCATCTATGTTGAATTGGTACATCAGCTAGTTCTTTAATACTTCTCAAATAAACACGTATGTTAATAAAAACCTAGTAAACAAATTTCTAGAACTTTGTACAAATGTTCATTTCTTATCACCTTGACAGAAAATTATAATTTAAGATAACCATATAATTTTGCATACTATATTTACTTGAAGTGACTACATAAAAAGTTCTTACTTGTTCAGTGGAATGGCTTGTATAAGGCACACACAACAAGTTTCATAGCTATTACTTGTAAATGATGTAAAACTGTTGGTTATATGGAACAACTCTTGATATGCTACATTTTAATTCCTTTTCCACATTTCCACAGCCAAACAAAATTTTGGTATTTCACCAAATCATCTCTCTGTTTCAGTTTTCAAGAAAGATTTAATTTGAAGAAGAAAATATTTTTTTTCAGTTCTACATTGTTCTCTGATTTTCTTCATATAACATGTTTCATCAAAACACAAGTTTCATTCCTATATGACTTTGAAAGTATTGTTTTCACAGGAGTTATATTTAGCTATATCTACAGGATTGTAGAATTTATTCAAGAAAAGTATATTTGTTGTTAATCAATCATCTTTGTTAAATATTCCAGTGGTTTCCAGTAATATAATATTTTGTGTCATGTATTTCAAGTTCCAGAAGAACAGTATCATTACAATTTGAGAGCCTTACATCAAGCAATAATTTTTAAAGTTTATGGTAAATATTACTGGCAACTTTTAAGTTGTATGTCAACTAAGTTTCCAAAGAGTAAAATATATTATTAATAGCAAAGTAGCATTGAAGATTTCATGTTTTATCCAGAAAGGTTCACCTGGATTTGTACATGGGAATTATTTGAATTTGAAGACCTACTCTTTTCTTTTTTGAAATATTTAGTTAATATTCATATAATATTCCCATCTGTGTTTATAACAGAGTTTAAATATGTATATCTGTAAATATACTGAATGTGTAAGGGACCTAGTTGTTATTGTATTTTACATTGATTGCCATAAATTTAGTTTCCTTTTGGTTTATAATCATTTTTGGATTTTTCACAAACATCATATAACATTTGTTAGCTTATCTTCCACTGCTGCCCCTTGGCTCAGTGGTTTGGTTTGTTTTGAATTTTTCGCAAAGCTACACGAGGGCTATCTGCATTAGCCATCTCTAATTTAGCAGTGTAAGAGTAGAGGGAAGGCAGCTAGTCATCACTACGCACCAGCCAACTCTTAGGCTACTCTTTTACCATTGAAGAGTGGGATTGACCGTCACATTATAATGCCCCCACAACTGAAAGGGCAAGCATGTTTGGTGGGACAATCATTCAAACCCACAACCCTCAGATTGCGAGTGGAGCGCTCTAACCACCTGGCCATGCCAGGCCTGGCTCAGTGATAATTCAGTGAGCTTATAATGCTAAACATTGGGTTTTAGTTTTCATGATTGGCACAGCAAAGATCTTCATCTTCCTGTTAGGCTTAAAGGCCTGTCAACTACATCACCCCATAAAACTCTGCCACACGCTCATATCTAGGTATAATGTTTGTTCCTTTACCTCCTACAGTGTTGTTCCTGTATTTCCAACTGCTCGTTCAATATTTTGTTTCTATCTCACCCATGGTCTTCCTATGGGTCTTTCTGTTTCAAGGCTGTTCTTGAGTTTTTAGAGCAAGTGTTAAATCCTCCAGTGGCTTGCTAGGTCTGTCCTGTGTTTTCAGGTCAGCTGATTAGTATCATCCCTGTGTCTTTTGCTCTCATGTGATTACAGATGTACTATCACTAGACCCAACCAGACTGAAGGTAGGCTAGAGCGCAGATAGCAAAAAATTACTGCATCATCCTCTAAAGGAATAATATTTCATAAAAAGTGAAAAATAATACTTTAAGGTGGATCCTGCTGCATATCTTGTTTTACACCGATACATTCAGTCCCTATTGAGCTCCATTTGATTGGATACATTTGAAAATGTTTTATCTATGGACTATTTATATAAGTAAAATATTTTATGATGTTCAGTTATAAGTTTTTTATTTATAGTTAAATTAAACCACTAAATAATTGTTTACAAAGATACAGCTAGGATTTTTTATACATCCATCTATCTATCTATTTTATTTTCTGTTTAATGGTTGTAAAGACATGACATATTGGTCTTCAAGGAGGAACACAATAGGGTAGAGGATGTATCCGACTATGCAAAAAAAGTAGACCTAGCTTTTCACTGTTTCTTTACTGAAAATTGTCAATTTCACTTTGAACTTGGTTGGTGAGATGAGACCATCAATAATCCATAGAACTAATGATGAGTCAGCAGATTCATCATCAGTTAATTGTAATATGCTATTTGGATGTTGATCATGAAGACTTCTAAATAAATATTGAAATTTTTTTATTGGTTGTTCATTGGCCTATTCTTGGCAAGATGCTTTCTAGGATATTGAGTTCCAAGTTAATTTACTATCCTTCAAACAAATTAAATATTCCCTTCTTGCCGTTGCATTATCTTCATTTAGTATTCCGATAACTTGGATTTAGACAATTTAGTATTAATGTATGGTAAGTCATTGAAAATATAAATTAAACCTTCACTTGAATCTTTTGACCTACATAAATCTCTAATTATATTCTTTTAAGGGATAAGAACTATCAATTCATGATTAGATGGAAACTGTGTATCAAGCATTATTCTAAGAGTTACATTTCTCCTGTAAGATTGTTTGTGAAGAAATATCAGTGTCTAATTCAGATATCATTATTCTTAGTCTCACCCAGTGGATCATTTGAGGTTTATGGTTTTATAACACTAAAATCCGGGTTTGGTTTCCTGTGGCATACAGAGCTCATATAGACCATTTTATAGCTTTTCACTAAAACAATGGCCATTATTCTTCCAGTTGGAAAGAAAAGTTTCCATTCTTTGTTTACCCTTTAATTATTACTATTGTAACACAATTGTATAACATATTTGCCATGAGTGTTTATTATTTGATCTTGATGATTCTGAACATCATAATATATATACCTTGGTTTTTCAAATTCTACTGTGCAAGCAAGCTACTCTAGTATTAAAATCACCCATTATTATAAATCTCTCGTTCTCATAATAAAAGTTTTCTAGGACATATGCAATAAAGGTGACTGTTAAAGTAGAGGAGATCATCAGGGGAAGTATAACACTCTCCAAATAAAACTTGTGGTTGTTGCCCTAATTGATACAAGTCGTATGAGTGTAAATCAACACATGTGAAATTATCTACAAGATAAATTTTAATTAAAAGTAGAGTAACAGATATTAACATTTATTTATTTATTATAATATTTAAATTTATAGATGTCTTTTGTTACATTTAGTAAAATTATATCAGATTTCAAAAGAAATGAAAGGAGGCTACTTTAATTTATTCTCAATCCCATTAATATTCCATTGTCAGAGTTTTGTATATGGGCTGGGCTGGAACTCTTCTACAGTAGATGTATGTGACTTGTTGGCAATAAATTCAAACAGTAAATGGACAGCACACAATTCACTTGTTTTAAAATAATATATATTCAAAACAAGTCAAACAAACATATGTACAAAAATTCTTTACACTATAAGAAATCACAGTTTTATCTAAAATTCTAAATAATTCTCTTTTCTTGTTAAAATTTCCACACAGGCTGATTTAATTACTTTAGAATCCAATTGGTAACATGAATTATTTTCCTCTTTCTTATCACAATAGTATCAGTGAATAATTCACTTAACATTACCAATTAGGTTACCACAGTTGTATCCTGAACTTTAAATAATTGTCTCCTATTTGTCAAAGTTTCCACAGGCGAGTTCAATTACTTTAGAATACAAATTATTTACCCTTATCTCTGTTAAACTGTGAAACTCACTTTAAGATATCACCTGTTAAGGCTAAGCACTCACATGATGGCTAACTTCACATTTTCTAACTTTTTTTCTGACTGAATTTGTGCTCGTTTGGTCACTTGTATATATACCTTGCCCAACTGAGGACTGGAACTTTTTACAAACTAAGAGACGCTATGATGTAACAATACTCGCATAGCAAGAAAAACTTAGAGGTTTTGAAAAAGTTGACATCAACAATACTACAGCAATTGAACTACACACACAACATATGTTACCGAGTTATGTAACAAAATTTGTTGTAACTATTACTTTTAATATAATTAACTTTTAACACTCTTGTTATGAAAACTAAATATTCTTTAAATATTAAATCACTAATTTAATTAAATAATAACTATTAAACTACACAGTCTTGTATATCCAATATCCATGAAAATATGTTCATATTCTTCAGCTCTTTTACTGTAAAAAAAAATTGAGTTTCATTAATATTGAACAATCTTTCGTGACTTCCAATTCAAATCGAACAGTCTACAGATTCAATAACAATGTTGTTTATGGCATCTTTTTATTTGTACAAAGGTGTGAGATGATCAGTAGAATTTCTTTAATCTGAAGCATTTGTTCTCACTCAGCTGATGTGGTAATTCTGAAGTTGCTTATGCACATTAGTTTATCACTATGTTGTAAGATGTGTTTGTTAATA